CCGCTCATCCTCCAGTTTAGAAAATTCGCTTTATTGTTGGGACAGTTCACCTGTGTCTCCTCAGCCCACCTAGGGCTTTCCGGAAAGGCGCGTTACTTCAGGGATGGAAGCCACGACTGGGGGAGGGGCGGAAGCAAACCTTCTTGCTAGGGTGGCCCTAAAGGAAGGTGAGCTTGGAGTAGGGGACTCCGAGGGCTCTGGTAATGGGTGGGATGACAGGCCGTCGGTGAAAGGAAATGAGCTCAGAATCTGAAACATGAGGTTCTTGGAGAAAATCCTCTCTCAAACCTCTCCACGTCACTCTATCTGCTGAGACCCTTGTGGTCCATGCCGTCAGCCAGGGCTGCCGGCAGCCTTAGGCTGCATATTTTTGCCATGACCTAAGACAGGAATCAGCCAGACACTGTCTGTTAGGAAGTCACAGCCCAGCTCAGTCACAGCAACAAGCCACCAGCAAAGGCAGTGGTTGGGCGTGAAAAACGCAAAGGGTGATTACAGTTATCCAAGGCCAGCTAGTGAAGCCCAGCATACTGTATTCAAAACAGGGAATCCAGTCCCGGGACTGTGACCCGGTGATGGAAGAGCTGGGACAACAAGATGGTGGGGCAAGCTGGAACGGGTAACATTAGTAACCGCCACTAACGCAAGGCTGGAGAGACAAAGGAGGAAATGGTCCAACCAAGTCTCAGGCCATTCAAAGCTGGGAGGGTGGGGAACACGCCGGCCTGTGTTTTTCTCCTTTTGCCCCACCCTCCAACCTTTGCCCCACCCTCCAGTGACCAGACAACAGTTCTCATTGGCTGAGTCCCGTAGGTAGACCCAAGTGGCTGCTCCTAGGAAGAACCTAGGAAATGAGGGGCGAGGTGGGGGTGTCTGTCTGTGTGCCTGCCTGGACAAGCTGAAGCAAGTGAGTAAGAGAGACGAGCCCACGTGTTCTAGAAAACTGTCTCCTAGCACCCCACGCTCATTCCTCAACGACAACAGGAGTCACAACGCAGGATGAACTCTGCTTCAAATGACAATTTGTTTAAAGTTTCTTTTGCGGTCCCCAATTACCCCTTAGCCCTGAAAACTCTAGCTTCCACGAGGGCAGGGGTGTAGTCTGCTCATTTATTGACGATTCTTTAGGACTGTTTGTTTAAAGGACTGGGGGCGGAACTCAACTTGCCCAGTGTGTGCCAAGCCCCGAGTTCCATCCCCGGCCCAGTGTGAAAAGAAGAATGTGGACATAGGTAGAAATATTTGTGGAAAATAATCGATTACAGGGGCCCGGGATGGCTCAGTGGGCAAACCCTTGCCGTGCAAGTGTGAGGATTCGAGTTTGAATTCCCAGAACCTATATAAAAAGCCAGGAGTGGCCACAATCTTTTCTAATTCTAATGTTACGGGTATGTGGAGCCTGGGCCAGGAGTTTCCAGGCTCTTAGCCTCTTCTTCAAGGAACGGAAACAAAGACTCACACCGGTTTGCAAAAGTAGCAAAGGAACTGTTCAAAGCTAAGCTATCTAACAGTACGCGCTGCTAGAGAACAGTGGACCACATGGCCGAAGATGCCTGCACCCCAGTCATTCATGGAGCTCAAGAGAAGGAGTCCGGTTACTAGGGGACATAGTAAGAATGGTTGTCTGTGTTTGTTTATTTGATTTTTTTTAGCATTTTATTGGGGGAGGGGAGTCGGGAAAGGGGGCACTGGCCTCTGGAGACAGGAGAGGTGGAAGACGGAGAGAGCTGCTTAAACGCTTTTTTTCTTGTTATGTCTGTGTTGATTGATAGATTATATGAAATTATATGATCCTTTATTTGCTAGGCACACTTTTCCCCATAATGCATCTGATTTTTAAATAAGAGAGCAAATAGGAGAGCCCTCCTAAAATTGCACTTGAGGATATGATTTTCTCTTACTGACCATGCACCCCAAACCAGTTCAGGAAAGATCAGCCCTCCAGCCCTCTGATCAGGATATACTGAAAACTTGTTTGAATAGAAATCATCTAAGTTTGGTTGTCCTTCAGGGAAAGAGAGATTTATCCCACTGTTCAGAGGAGAGTGTGGGTGCAGTCCGATGCAGGGGCAGTTAACAGGTTGCTAGGTGCGTTGTTCTGAAAGAGGTGTGTGCACAGCCCAAGCCAAGTGGAGTCCTGAGTTGCTAAGCTATTCCCTACGCTCCAGGTTCATTGAGACTCAATGCCCTGCTTTAAGGGAATAAGTTGGAGAGCGATAGAGCAGGTCACCTGACCTTCTCTGGCCTACACAGGCATACACATGAGTGCTTAGACCCACATACTTACATGCATGTACACAACACACACACAGGAAAAAACTGGATAACTGTGTACTGCCCTTCTTGCCAGTGACTGATTCTTAGAGTGAGGCATCTTGGGGTTTAGATCGAGGGAGGACAAGAGATAAGCCAGGTCTTCGATGAGCTATGTTTCATGCAGCATCTTATACTATGTTTCATAGTAGCATCTTAGAACTTAAACAGGCTTTACCTGACAGCCAGGGTAGGATTCTGCCCCTTGAAAAAAATAGGAAACTCTTTTTTCAACTACGAAATGATGCATTAATGTTAGGGATTGTGGTAGTGGTTATTATCCTTTCTTCTGATGATGCTCGTCTTCTGCATCTTGGGGCTCCTGCTTTCCCATCACCTGTTTACATTTGGGCACAGGCAAAATTTCCAGACGACAGTGTAAGCTGCTGAATTACAGGAAGAAAAAAGTGAAGATGACTAAGAGTCACACAGAGGAGAGAAAAGACATCAAGAGGCAGCTGATGAATCCTCGGGAAAGAGGGAGCAGAATAAGGGGGCAGGCCAGAGAGGGACAGTGGGGAGACCTGAGGACAGCTGGTTAGGAGCCAGCAAACGGCAGTTGGAACTCGCCTGGATGGCAACTAGTGAGTAAGTAACTATAGTAGACAAACCCAACAGTTCAGCATCTGTTTCTTGCTTATGAATGGAAATGTCTAGCCAGGACAACCCTGTAAAGCAGACAATATTGTTTTCTATTTTAATTGAAGAAAACTAGTAGCGCTCTCTCTCCCTCTCTCTCTCTCTCTCTCTCTCTCTCTTTCTGTGTGTGTGTGTGTGTGTGTGTGCGTGCCCAGCTAATTTCTGAGTTCCTTTGGGGGAATGTGGGGAATATTGGGGTTCTAAGACAGACCCCGATGAACATCTATTTTACAGCCCTATCCACATAAAATAGGAATGACCTAGATAGCAAAAAGAAATTGGGGGATTAAGGGCATATATCATAAAAGCGAAGGCACTGTCCACTGCCCTTCTTTGGACCGCTCCTCCTGAGGAGCAAGCTGTCCTATCTAAGGATAGGCTCTGGCTGACAGCCAGCAGCGATGTGCCAGCCATGTGGATGAAGCTTAAAGCATAATCGGCTGGAGAAGATGAAGGAGAGGCTGAAGCAGCAAGGAGTCCAGTCAAGCCTTCAGGTGACCCTCTACTGTGAGCAGTCTGTGACCTCACAGGAGACTCGAGCCCAGGAACATTCAGCCAAGCTGTTCCAAGTCCCTGAGCCACGGAAACCATCAGATAAGAATTCAATTTCTTCTTAAGAAACTAAGTTTTGGCGCATTTTGTTATAGAGAAATAGAGAACTACCAGGAGTTACTGTTCTTCTCCTGGCTCATGTGACCCGCGCTGAGCCAATCAAAGGGAGAATGCCCCATCTTGTCCGTCCCAGACGCGGCTCCGAGGTCTGGTGAAGCCTAAATGCTGCTGTTCTCAGTGAGGACTGCTACCTGCCTGTGTTGGAGTCTAGTGTTCCTGGATCCCCGGAAGTGGAAACGCAGCAAGCATCCTTCAGTAAGGTTCCCTTCCCTGAAGCACACATTTGGATTAGACCCACCAGCGAGTAGCTTCGTGGTCCTGGGAAAGCTGTTGAAGGTGCTTGTCCCCTTCTTTCCTCCTCCGAGGAAGTCTGACTTGGCAGGGTGCGTGAGGTCATAGCCACCAAGTCCTCCCAGAGAAGTTGAGTTTAGCATTTACAATGCAATATTAAGAGTTGGCTGTTATTGGCAGGTGGTAGTGGCGCCCACCTTTAATCCAGCACTCGGAAGGCAGAGGCAGGCGGATCTGTGAGTTGGAGGCCAGCCTGGTCTAGAGAGTGAGTTCCAGGACAGGCTCCAAAGTCAAACAGATAACAAACTATGTCTCAGAAAAAAAAAAAAAGTTGGCTCTTATTGAGTGACAGCCTGCGTGCAGAGGTCAGAGGAGAACTTTGGGAGTCTGCTCTCTCCCTCCTCTGTGGGTCCCAGTGCTGGAGCTCAGGTACAACATTATGCAGCAAGTCCATCTACATGAGCCATCTCACCAGCCCTCAGTAACCCACAGGATTGGGCTCTGTCTGCGTGCGGATTGACCCCACATATCCATTCCCAGATCACTCCTGGATGAAGGTGGTCCAGCCCTGCTGGAGGCAGCCCAAAGGTACACAGGGAACTTTGGGCAAAGCCAGCCTTGAATATGAGTCAGGCAATAGTTCTCTTTTTGGTGCCTTTCCCTGCCTGTGGCCAGCCCTGTCTCTGTCATACACACGGATCTCAGCACCAGCGGGGAAGAACAGCCTCCTGGTGCATTAGCTCCTTTACTCTTCCTTGTTTGTACATCAAATACAAATAGAGCCAGAGTCCTCAGCTCATCTTACCACCTCACTGAGCAGGAAACCGACCTTCGATGCTCCCCTGCCTTTCAGTCTCTGGAGTGTGCGCAGAAGGGACTATGATTTCCCAAATAGGCAGTGCTTCTGGGTCAGGGGCAATTCACCAAGGAAGTGGGGCATTTGGGGGGTAGATAGTGGACAGTCACAGAAATTGGAGTGGGCATGCTGCCTGGAAAAAAAGGTCACCAGCCACATCTACCTTGGGAGGACAGGGTCTAGCCTGCTGGCAGAAAATGTTTTGGTTAGAGTGGCCAGGGAGACCTCATTGGGGCTGGGACTCACAAAACATACATGCACATAACATAAACCTTATTTTTTGTCCTAGGGGTAAGAGAGCAAGGAGGCTGGTGTGGACAGGCTGTGGAGTTTTCCAGGAAGCAGAGGTGACATCAGCAGTGCGAAGGTGGAGATGCTGTAACTCGCATAGGCACTTCTAGGCCGAGCTGCGAAGAAGCCGGGGGAAGGGTCCAAGCAGAGAGCTGGCATAGCCATAATCCCGCTTCGGTTGTGCGTGTGTGTTCGTGCTAGCTGCCACGTCACTGTAGACCAACACGGTCTTGGAGCCCAAAAGTGGGTGTGAGCAGTCAGTGCCATGACGAGGAAATGACCCAGATGCCGGAAAGATGGTGACGATTGAATCCACCAGATTTTCTGAGTGTCTAATGTTGAGTATGAGAGAAAGAAGTCATGGACAGCTCTCCTGTGGGTGACCAGAAACCGGAGGTGTGGGGGTGCTTGGATGTCTCACTTGGATCTGCTAAACTCGGCACACCAAATGAGCATCCGAGAGAGATGCCAAGGGCATCTGAACATAAGTGTGGGATAATAGACGGGTTCCACTTGAGCATCTGAGAACATGCAGTGAGTGGGTAGAGACTATAAAAAGAGAGGATTCAGTGGAGCATAGCTGGGCCTGGACCCACCCACTAGCCGTGGAGCCATCTTCCTATTGGTCTGTCCCGATCCTCTGAGGTGCTTCACTCAAACCACAGTGCCTTTTCTGCCTCTGATGCCAAGATGGAGCCCAATTCTGCAGGAGCACGCTCAGGAGGCCACTGCCATTGACAACAGACAAGGTCACACAATGGAAGGCCACATGGCACAGCCAGAAGTAGAATGGTGGCAGTGGGAACTGGCCTTTGCTTCTTCTGCCGTGTTCTCTCCAAGGAAGATGGCGACCCAGATCCTGGGAGAGCTGTCCAGAACTCTCTGAACACCCTATGCTGCTGGCGTCTGTGGGTGTAATTTCAAGAAAACCATCACGTTTCATTAACTTATTCCAGGAAACGGGACAAGCACAAGCGCCCACACTTCTGAGAAGGAGCATCTGAGAACCCAGCACTAGCAGGGGCTTGCTTAGCGTTGAATTTCTTGTACCAATTGATGTTTGGGAAGGGCTGGGTACATCTTGTCAACATGGGGGGCAGGTGCTCATGAGCAGCTCGCAGGGGACATTGAGTGCCCTGGCTGAGCCAATGTGGGAAGATGAAAGTAGAGAGAAAGGGAGGGGAACAAGAGTCCTGGCCTAAGGGCCAGGAGCAGACGCCACTGTGGCACATGGAGGACCCCAGGCAGGGTACGCATTGGCCCTAGATTTGGGAGCTGTATTTAGCTTCTAGTAAAATAATTCGACCTGTGGTACCTTCAGTGGAAGATTTATTCTCCCAATTCTCCCCAAAGAATTCAGAGTATCTCTACAAACTCACCAGGGAACTAAGCTCCTTTTAGTTCTCTGATCTGCAGTCTTAATTTCTTTCTTTTAGCTCCCAAAGCTGCCTCATGAACCAATGTGGCTGTCAGGAGCTCTGCCCACTACATGCACATTCTGGGAAACAGGAAAGCGGTGTAAAGGAAATGCAGAAGAGGTTCACGCCCTTCATCCTCGGAGAGTTTCCTAAGAAGCCCATATTTCTGTGATACAAGCTCCATCACACAGCCACATCTATTTACAGAGAAGGGTGGGCAAACACGGAGGTGCCGAGCTAGCTGAGAGAAGTGAGGGAGTGGGGACTATCAGAGGCAACATGGGCTCCATGTTACCGTCCTGAACAAGTCTGCTCTGATCCTAAACCTCCATGCCCTAGAAAAAAGAAATGCCTTGTACAGCCATGTGCTTACTACCTTCTGTTACTCAAATGTTCCCACATAAGCGTCGGAAGATCGCCCCTTATTTTCTTTAACTGGAGGTTGCCCATGCTCCTCTAGATACACCCTCACCCATGTTCAAGCAAATAATCCTAATTAAACTCAGCATGCCACAAAAGGAAGAAAAGAAAAAAGACACGAAAGTGTGAGAGGGCTTGTTGGGGAGAGGTGGGGCTTCATCCGAAGTCAGAGGGGATAAAAGCGGGTAATGGGGCGTGAATATGATCAAATATATCCCCCACAATGGTCTACCATAGTCCCCTTAGGGGGCATTCTGGCAGAATGCCGTGCTGGCACATTTCCAAGTGTGTGCTACCGTCACAGCAGACTCTGACAGAGGTTGGTGCCCTGGCACTTCCTGTCTGAACCGCTCACGTTTGCCTCTGACTTTAGGACGGAGGTTCTATCCTTACAGTGACACTGTCTGTACATTGCTCACTCGACATCTTCCCAAGGACCACGCCCATCAGTGGCTAGGAGAGAGTATAGGAACTGCATCTTCACAGTGGTGAAGAATTGGCCAAGCCTGGGGCTCCTCAGCAGTCCATGGGCAGGCTGAACATCAGGTGGAAGTTATTCCGATGAGCATAATGAAGAAATTCAACATCACTCTGGCTCCACTCAAGAGCATGTGCTGTAGATGGCGGTGGGTGTGAAGGCAGAGAGGTCCCCCAGGAAGCTGATGCTTTCCCTAGGAGAGCAGAGGGTAGTCTGTGTTGGGAGAAGGAAATGCATACAGGGTTAATACAGAGATCATAAGCGAACCCAGTGACTAAGTAGTGAAGATGAAGACTCCGAAGATGGTGGTGGTCTTTCAGTTTTATAACTGTGGTGAGGTAGCATGGAGAAGGATCGGACCGGAGGATAGGCCAAAACCTGAGACTTTGACACTGAGAGAGGCCAATTAGTTCAAAGCCAAGTCCTCTGCATGAGCCACAAAGAGCCTGGCACAGGGCCTACACAAGGACCTCTGCCATGTGGTGGTAGTGTCCTATAAAGGGTTTCTGGACAGATAGTAGAGGCATGGAATTCCGGGTCCTGGGACAGAAGCCTGGTCACTGGGACATCATGGGCATTGGAGGAACTGCCACTATGGGGAGAGCCAGAGTTAAAAAAAAACAGGAGTGGGAATCTCCAGTTAGCCCAACAAGGACAGACCTCCAGAACTCAGAGCAGTACTGTAGGGCAGGGCAGAATCAGGAGAGGAGCCATGTATGGTCTGAGACGCTATTCAGGGGCTTGGGAAGATCAGTGACATCACAGTGCGTAGCAAGGGTGAAATGAAGCAACCTGATACCGCATGATTCCGGCGGCAAACTTCTTCCTGCTCCAGAACTCGCTGCACTATGAACTCCTCCACATCATCACAGGGTCCTCAGCTCGTGCACCACGAGGCAACGAAGCCAAGGGAAGGCTACCCCCAAAGAGCCAGCCTAACCCAAGTGCCGAAGTCTTGTAATCAGTTTAGTTACAACGACAAAATCCAGATCAGAAAGAGGATTAGGATGTGTGGTTTGTGAACCGGCGCTTTGAACTTAACTGTGGAAGCCCCTCCCCGAGCGAACAAAGAATGCCCGAGGTATTCACCGTGACACAAACACATCGCTACCCCAGCCTCCCTGAAGCGAGGAGACCCTCAGCCGGCTGGGTGACCAGTTGGCATCCCAAATTGCCTCCCTGTGGCGTTCCACTCAGGTCTCCCAGGGGAGAAATGGACCATGTCGCAGCCTGCTGCTCCTGGAATGGCAAGCATCTGAGAGGCTGCCCCGCTCAGCGGTCCCCACACGATACAGGAGAGGCGAAGCTCCTTCCTTGTGCTCCCTCTCACGGTGTTGGAGAGTCGGGGGCGGGGGAGGGGGGGGAGCGCAGCCCCTGCCCGGCCCTGCGTGCAGTTAGGGTTATTGTTCCCAGATGGGGACTGTCAACCCCTGTCAGCTTCAGATACGCACTGAGAGGCCTACATCCGCATTCCTGGGATGCGTGGCGGCCCAGAGTTCACCTTCTGCACCCGGATTCAATAACATGTCAAATCCCTTCAATCTCACCCAGAGCCGAAACCCTCTCAACCCACTTGCTGCCTCTGCACACATGCTTTGCGCCTGTCCAAATATTGAAGCTGGGCTGAGTGGAGCTATGCTCAGTTCGGGCCAAGGGTGGCCCACCTGCCAATGCCAGCTCCGTGGTGAGAGCCAAGAGCCCTTGAATGTATGCACTGGGCCTTGGGACTTGTTCAGAGTACTGTCCCAGGGTGTGGTAGCTTGGGGAGCTGGGAGAAAGAATTGGGCAATCGGTCTGGCTGTTCTTAGGCCTGTCTATAGATTAACTATAGCCAATTGTCAGGGTCTGCCTGTAACTCCAGTGTTGCGGGACTAAGGCAGGAGGGTATAGGACTATATAGTGAGTTCAAGGTTAGCCTGGGCTACTTATCCAAAGTTTTTCTCCCAAAGCAAAGCCAGCACACACACAAAAAGTCTTTTTAGGGACTTCTCTCACACAGCCCCTCCTGGCTGGCCCCTAAACTGCCTCTCAGAGTAGGGAGGGTACTCTCAGTCGGACTAAGCCTTTCCACGGAGTCAGTCCCAGTATTCCAGAGACTCAGTAGATGGGAACAGCATTGGACCTGAAGATCAAGAAGTTTCCGGTGGGGACAGTGGAGGGGACCTGGGGTCCAGTGTTGACAAATGGATGGAGAACACACAGCATCAATGAAGCACTTGGACATACCATTCCAGATGTTTCCTCCACATTTTTTTAAAAAGATCTCACTAGGTAGCCCCAGCCAACCTGGAGCTTACTCTGTAGACCAGGCTGTCCTCAAACTCACAGCAATCTGCCTGCCTCTGCTTTCATAGCGCTGGGATTAAAGAAATGCCATCATGCCTAACCGATTCAAAAAAATTTTGACTCTCTAATTATTATGTTTCATTGTGTCACCTCCCAAAATATAAGGAATCCCTACCTGTAACCCTCGCTATCACGACCAGTAACTGCTAGTTTCTGCGGCTATCATGACGCTGAGATGAGGTCATCTGCATGGGCCCTGATCCAGAAGGACGTCATGAGCATGAAGAGACAGAGATCGGTACCGGGGCCCAAACAACAAAACCCACCTCACCTCAAGTACTAGTTGGGCTGCCTGCAAATGCCTTGACGTCACACTTCTACCCTCAAGAACCCAGAGAAGGGTCTGTTGTTTGGTGCCACCTACACTGTGTGACTACAATCCTTGGAACCTCATATGCCACCCAATAATGTGCCTGATAAAAGCCTGGGATCCTGGGAGTAACTGATAGAAATGCCTTGAGGGCTATGATGAGAGGCAGCCTGGGGATTCAGGGCTATGTCCCAGGTACTGTTTAGTGTACAAGTCACCTTTAAAAAGGGACCTGATGTTCCTCATCTCCTCTTACCCTAAGAAAAACCCTCTACCAATAGCATGGGCTCCTTTATCAACTTCTATAATTTGCAGCTGATAGAAACCCAGAACATCTTCACTTTACTCTTCCTTAGGTGGTCCCCAGGCTTGCAAGGAAGTAGCCTTCTCACACAGCGAGGCTTTACAGCATTGAAATTCTGCTACCCTTCTGAGTAGCCTCTCAAGTTAGGAATTCCTGCTTGCCATCTGCCCTGTGACCTCACCCTGTCGCCATGGTTCCATTAAACGGAGTCATTTAAACTGAGTCCACTCAGTGCAGATAAGAGCGGACAGAGACAACACCCACTCACACTCTGGGCAGACTGTGGGCTGTGGGTTTGGGCAAATGGGTGCTTTGCAATTGACCTCAGTGTTTATCCCGATTCTCAAGAGAAGGAGATTGTGCACTGGCCATTTTCTGGGAATTCTATTAAGCAACTCCTGAGTGCGTGATGGTGTTTCTTACAAGGCTGTTAGGTGGTTTTTACATCTAGAAATGGCCGTGTTTGTGTCCTAACACCCAATAAGATCAGTCTACAGGACAAAGCCCTCCACCACCACCTCTGCACCTGCACACACACACACACACACACACACACACACACACACACACGCTTGTTTTCTTCTGTCGGCTTCATATGTCAGTGGGGGTTGGTTTCCATAACCCAAGTCTCTGGCTTGTCGAGTAACTGTCCCCGTAGCCATGTTCCACTTTCTCTTGCCCCGCAACCCTTCGCTAATGCTTGTTTACTATGAAAAAGCTAAGAGTGGAGAGACAGCCTTCCTGCCCCGTCCCCAGGCATGGGCTGAACTAAATAGAACCACACCCTAGCTGTCTTTCCAAACCAACCACGGGGAAGCAACTTTACAGCCTTTATGATGACACGGTGCATGTGCAGAAATGTCCTGCGTGCCTTCATGTTCCCACCATGAAGAATATACTGTTCTCGCCTGTGTTCTATCTTCCAAGGACAGTCGATCTAAACAACTGGCCGTTGCCGATCCCCTACAGGACAGCCATACAATGCACCCAGTGTAGCCATAGAATGTCATGTTTGAGAAGCAAATTTCACAACACGGGAAAGTGTTTAAGGTTTGCTGTTAAGTGGGGTGATAAAGCTGCTTGCGAAACTGAGAGTCCCATATGAAAACAATTATGCAAAAATTATGTATATATCCGTGGAAAATATGGAAGGCTTTTCTCCAAAACGTAAACACTGAGGGAAGCCTCAGGGGACTGAGCATACAATGCCCGATTTGTGCACAGCACATGGGCATCCCCTGGAGAGAAGAGCAGTGGCAGGCATCTTGGCACAGGCTGCCCTCCTGAAACGAGCCTTTTCCTTTCCTCTGTTTATGAAATGGCACCATATAGGCTGGCGATAGCCCCAACAGTCGTGGCTGACTCTTAATTTCTATTCTGTGGGTTTTCCTGCATATTCCAAACAGTGCATACTGTGTTTGCATTGCTATTTTAAAGGACTCATAAAATGACCAATTTTCAGAAGGTAAGTGCTAGAAAATTGGGCAGG